GAGACATCGATGAGAGAGGAACATCAATCAGCTGCCTCCTGCACACCCCCCACTGGGGATGGATGCCCGCAACCAAGGCACATGCCCTTGACCTGGAATCGAACCCGGGACCCTTTGGTCCGCAGGCCGACGCTCTATCCACTGAGCCACACAAGGCAGGGCTATTTTTATTCTTGAAAACACATATTCTCAGTTTTCTAAGACACTCGTGTTTGAGTCAATATACCATCAAATCCATGTAATAAATTACTAGTGCTGTAAACTCCAGGGCAATTTCGTTCGTGTGTGTAATGTTCCCTCATGTGGCGTCAACATGTGTGTCCTACGTATTCATAAAGTTATGGCTTCCAACAAGCTTCAGCCGCAGGGTGCGATGAGCGTTGTAATGGACGGAGGGGACCTCATTGCGAAACGATGTTCTCGAATGTTCCCGGACCCCTGACGGCCGTTAGCTCTTGCCTGTAACAATGAGAGTGAAGTGTAAAAACTTGGAAGGGATATGTCCACAGCTCTGTGTCCTGGAGCCAAAGGAAACTTCCAGAATCTGCTGGCAGGTTCCTGCTTGGGGAATTAGGGCTCCGGGGTGAGTCCCAACTGTGAAGTAACTTGCATTTCGTCTCATGCCTGATTCATCAAGGGGTCACTAGTTTTCTTTTCTTTTCTTTTCCTTTTTTTTTTGTTATTGTTGTTAATCCTCACCCGAGGATATATATTTTTAAAATATGTTTCTATTGATTTCAGAGAGGAAGGGAGAGGGAGAGCGAGAGAAACATAAATGATGAGAGAGAATCATGGATCGGCTGCCTCCTCCACGCCCCCGCACTGGGAGTGAGCCCGAAACCTGGGCCTGTGCCCTTGGCCGGAATCGAACCCGGGCCCCTTCCGTCCGCAGACCGACGCTCTATCCATTGAGCCACACCAGTCAGGGCCCGAGGATATTTTTCCATTGATTTTCAGAGAGAGTGGAAGGGAGAGAGAGAGAGAGGCAGAAACATCAATGAGAGAGACACACATGGATAGGTCGCCTCCTGCATGCACATCGACCAGGGCCGGGGAACCTGCAGCCCAGGTCCATGCCCTTGACCGGAATCGAACCCCGGACCCTCCAGTCTGCAGGCCAGTGCTCTACCCACTGAGCCACACCAGCCAGGGCAGTCATTCGTTTTCATACTAAATGGTACCCCACGCAGGCCACGCCAGTGGAGGCCTGCCAGTGGGCTTTGCCTGGGTGGGGTCGCACCAAGGGAGGTGGGATGCTCAACATGCCAACCAGATGGTGGGTTCAAAAAATCCTTACACCCCGGCCAGTCTGGCTCAGTGGATAGAGCGTCAGCCTGTGGACCCAAGGGCCCCAGGGTTGATTCCTGTCAAGGACACATGCCCGGGTGGCAGGCTCCTCCCCGTCCCAGGCCCTTGTCAGGGCGGCGCATGCAGGAGGCCAACCCATCCATGTGTCTCTCTCACATCAATGTTTCTCTCTCTGTGTCTCTCCCCCTCCCTTCCACTATCTCTAAAAATCATTGGGAACATATCCTCAGGTGAGGATGAACAAATCTATACTAATAAAAGAGTAATATGCTAATTAGACCGGACATCTTCCGGACAAAGCCATGGTGACAGGGGCCGAGGAAGAGGCACTTAGGGGCGATTAAGCAGGTTGGGGAGGGCAGTTAGGGGCGATCAGGCCAGCAGGGGAGAGCAGTTGGGGGCGATCAGGCCAGCAGAGGAGGGCAGTTGGGGGCAACCAGGGCAGCAGGGAGGTCAGTGGGGGGACCTGTGGACCCAAGGGCCCCAGGTTTGATTCCTGTCAAGGACACATGCCCGGGTTGCAGGCTCCTCCCCGACCCAGGCCCTTGTCAGGGCGGCGCATGCAGGAGGCCAACCCATCCATGTGTCTCTCTCACATCAATGTTCTCTCTCTGTCTCTCTCGGACAATCAGGTCAACAGGGGAGTGGTTAGGAGCAGACAGGCGAGCAGTTAGGAGCCAGCGGTCCCGGATTGGAGAGGACGCAGGCCGGGCTGAGGGACACCTCCCCACCCATGCATGAATTTCGTGCACCGGGCCTCTAGTAAATAAATAAACAATGCCACTCTTCGTAACTGTCAACAGCTTTTTGGTGTCCCCGTATTTAGATGGATTCCCATGTTCCCTCGAACGCTCAGAGCCTCTGACATCTTCCTGGCCCATGAAATGAAAACGGAAAGGTTCTTAGGGCTAAGAAGTCAGCAAGCGTTAGGCTCTCCCTCCCCGAATCCATCAGCAGCTTTCGGCAATCAGGGCTTTCCCAAACACGGACAGAGCGCTTCGAGTTTCCCTCGCAGCCCGGCCCGCGTGGCTCCGTGGTTGAGCCTCGACCTAGGAACCAGGAGGTCACGGTTCAATTCCCAGTCAGGGCACTCGGACGTGCAGGAGGCAGCCCATCCATGATTCTCTCTCATCATTGATGTGTCTGAATTCCTTCTTGGATGGAGGAGGTTGGCTGTTAACCTGTTTTCCAGGAATAAATTTTTTTAAATATATTTTATTGATTTTTTACAGAGAGGAAGGGAGAAGGTTAGAGAGTTAGAAACATCAGTGAGAGAGAAACAGATCAGCTGCCTCCTGCACACTCCCTACTGGGGATGTGCCCGCAACCAAGGTACATGCCCTTGACCGGAATCGAACCCGGGACCCTTCAGTCCGAAGGCCGACGCTCTATCCACTGAGCAACCCGGCTAGGAACAAAATTAATATCAGTATCAAATTATATCTACCTGGTATGATCTTGCATCTGCTATATACAGCAATACTTAAAAATAACCACCTATCCAAAAAAGATAACATTTAACAGCAACCAAAACAGTGGAAAAAATAGACTTTATAGACAAAACTAGAGGCCCAATGCATGAAATTTGTGCAAGGGACTCTGCCCTCACCGCCCTGGCTTTGTCCAGAAGGTCATCTGGAAGGACATCCGGAAGGTCGTTCGGCTGTTGAGTCTAATTAGCATATTAGCTCTTTATTATGTAGGATTACAGGGAATCCAGATATGGGCATTCACGGATAGAAACTCAAAAAAAGACGTAAGTAGCTCGGTCTGTGTCCCTTGGTGGTTGAGTGTCGACCTCTGAACCAGGAGGTCAGGGTTCGATTCCCGGTCAGGGCACAGGCCCGGGGAGTGGGCTCCATCCCCAGTGTGGGGCGTGCAGGAGGCGGCCAGTCCATGATTCTCTCTCATCATGGATGTATCTCTCTCTCTCTCTCTCTCTCCCTTCCTCTCTGACATCAATAAAAAATATTTTTTTAAAAGAAATATGTCATGTACAGCAAAGGCTCCATAACATGCCAGGCATGTACCCTCCTTAGAAAAAAAACCAGATAACATGTCACCAACCAGGACGTCAAAGCTCACCGTGAAGAACTGTGACCATCGTGCTGATGGGAGGAGGGTGTGGAGTCCTCAGGCAACTCGGCTCAGTTCCTGGGTGGGGAAGGGAGAGAAATTCGCTTGTAGGAACATCCCATACAAATGCCTTTGCTCCTGGCTTTTCCTTCATTTTCACAGGAAAAATACATACAGGTCCTGACCGGTGTGGCTCAGTGGATAGAGCGTCGGCCTGCGGACTGAAGGGTCCCGGGTTCGATTCC